CTCGCGAGGAAGTGTTAGTGCACAAAACTCGTGCGGGCTCAACGTGCTTAGTAGAATGGGATTTTTGATTTAAACTGGGCTCATGATCGAGACGGCGGCGCTTAATAGAGGACAATAGAGGCGGATTGTGACGACCTTCAGATACTTGGAAATTTAATTGCGAATTCGTTATTTTTTCGGCAGGTCTCTTTGTAGTACGGGAGGTAGATTGCGATGCAATATTAGTGCCCAAAGTGGTATCATTCCCCTTGAAAGACTTAATTAAAGCAGCCGGTTCATTGTTCGTCTGGTCACATTCGTTACTTAAATCATCGTAATTCGTGGCTTTTCGAATCTTGATGCAATGCATGAAAAATAAAATAACAACGTTTTTATATTTGGTATCCCCATTGACAAATAATATAAGTTATAGAAATAAATGTACTCTAGCCTAGAAAGGTCATTATAATCAGAAGTGGGGAAGAAAATCACAAATATAATTACTAAAAAATCAACGGAAGTAGTAAAATTATTGAACTAAGTGCTAATCAATCTATAGCAATTTATATGAACCAAATGCACAAATAAAATTTACAGATATTGACAAGAGATAATAAATAAAACACTCCATAACGTGTATAATCCATATAATAGAAATATATAATTTAGAAGAGTATAACATACCGATGAAGAATTAGGATTGGACTCTGATTCAGTTAAGCTGTTACCAAATACCGATTTATTGAGAGGAGACAAACTATGTCTTGATTTCTCTAACGGCTGATGATTACGTGAGGAGCTTAAGGGTGGAGACGTAGAAGAGAAAGTGGTAGATGAAGAAGTTCCAGATGAAGAAGATGAGCATGAGGATGAATCGCTAGAAGAATGACGACTCGAAGATTCAGATGAGTGAATTCTTGAGGATGGCGATGAATAAAGGGATCGAATATTAGTCTTTGGTGGTGAAAGGGACCTGGAACGCATTGAAACTAAGTCTGTTTTAGCAGATGACCTAAGTAAACTAATTTTCTTTGACAGAGCAGGCGATGGAGGAAGTGGGGATGCTGAAGAAAGAAGAGTGATTGGAGGGACAGAAGAAAGAATGGTTGCTGAGACTGAACCAACAATAGAATCCGGAGGAGAATCGGCTGAGCGTCCGAGATTGAAGAGAGAAAGATTAGGTGTGGCAGTGGAACAAATAGGAGAGACATTGGCGGTAGGTACGTAGTCAGAGGGCTGCGAGTGGGTTAATTGTGATGAAGGTAGTAAGCCATTTGGAGTAGGTAAATCGCCGGAATGAAGAAAAGACAGGATTTCCTGATAGGAAATAGGCTTAGACGGATCAGGTGGAAGATTTGAATTGCTATAGGAAAAATGCGGCACGTTCTGAGTTGAACTAAAATAAAGAAACTTTGTTATTAAAATTAGTGGATAATTTGTGTAGGATTGAGGCGAAAGAATCTATAAAAAAACAAATTTTATGATAAATGTGATGACAATGAGATAGATCAAAAAATAAAATGTTGAAACACGTCAAAGATTACAAAAAACAAAAATAAAATGGATAATCAGATAGGCGACAAAACGAGTTAAAAGCAGTATGAGGATTCTATATAAGTATAACTAAATCAATGTATTCGAATTAGGATGGCTTGATGTCGTAAATAAAACCTGCTTATACACAGCCAGGTTGAATCATTGTGGGAAAGAGGTGTAGATTAAGCGAAACGAGAATACAAGATTAATGAACATTTAGCAAGGAGGGAAACTAGGTAAGTTCAGTAAGTCAAATCGGAGTGGTGCAAAGTGACTACGTAAGGTTAGTATATTATTGAAAAAGCCCCGCAGAAAAGCCCCTCCGTTACTCAGACCAGAGTGCGAAAAAGAGGTAAAAACGTTATATAGCTAAAAAAGAATGCGGCTAAAACATCATGATCTCCACATCTATCTCGAAGAAAATCATTTAGAGTCAAGGTTGGACAAATCTACGAATAAAAGTACAAAGCAGATGGCAGCGATTGTAGAATCTAATGAGTTTTTATAACTATACAAATTTTAGGAATGGATCAGAATATAAGAATGTGGATTACCTTAGTTAGGGAATATAGAAGTGTTGACATATAAAAATTGATTAATTCCAAAAAAGTATGGAAACTCTTACCTATTCAAATTTCGCAAGGAATACTTCAGCTTATCAATTTCTCTGACAGAGGTAAGGGCCAGGCGAGAATAATTATCAGCAAGCTGATCTCTGGATAGAACAAGAGACAAGCGTTCCTCCTGTAACCTTGATATCCGTGCATTAAGAGCAATGATTTCATGCTCAAATTCTGAAAATTGGTCACTTAATGCCTAGAGAAAAATTGGAAGCCAATATATGCACCAGCACTGTGGTATAGAGCTTAATGTATGATGTGATCACAATCGCTCCAGAAGACAAAATAAAGTATAAAAGGCGAAGTTTAATTATTACCAGAGAATTGGACAATTTACAACCACTTCCGGATAACTCCGGGCATGCCAACGGGGCAGCCGCAGAC